CCATGGCTCGGCTCGGCTCGGCTCGGCTCGGCTCAGCTCAGCTCTATAAAAAGAAAACATTTCAAAATGAGAGGTTACACATCACTACTGTAGTGGCTATTTGTCCAAAAACAAAAAAATCTAAATAAACTAATATCAAACATAATCAAATGACCACTGATGCATCATGGGGGATGTGATGTATGCAGGCAAAGAAATCCAACGTCCATGCAAGAGATCTGCAGGTTTTGGTTCAAAAGAAAGAAAACACAAGAACAAAGAAAATCGTCTCCTGCTGCCTCTCATAGGCCGACCCAGGTGCATGCTGGTCCTCTACCTGCCTCTGGTGCCCACAGTGTAACCAAAATACTAATACAAAACTAAATTTACTAAACAAATAACTAGCAAAAGAAAATATGACCCCAAATACTGTTTGAAATAAAGAAAACGTGTAGAATAATTAAATAAACAACTAAATACCAAAACTAATTCTAACAACAATTAAATAGCTCCAATAACTACTATGTGTCAATACTGTCCATTTACGACTCTGTTTTTGCACATTTACATTTAATCTTTCATATTTAAGACTAGTAATGTTTAGTTAAATCCTGGTTGTATATATTCACATTCTTAGTTTTGATATTCTTAGTACTTATTTACTTTGTATTTAATATTATATTGTGTGTTTTACTCATATTGTGTGTTTGAACAACCTGCTGCTGTAACACCACAATTTCCCAGTTTGGGATCAATAAAGTAATTCTATTCTATTTACATGTTTTGTTTATTTTCTTTACAGCATGTCAGTGTGTAATAATCTCTCCATGACTAGTATAGGATTTTTGAAAACCACCTGCATGATGCTAAACAACAATACTGTTAAAATATTGTCCTGTTGAGAGGAGGTGACGTAAACTAGAGGAGGTGACGTAAACTAGAGGAGGTGACGTAAACTAGTGAAGGTGACGTAAACTAGAGGAGGTGACGTAAACTAGTGAAGGTGACGTAAACTAGTGGAGGTGACGTAAACTAGAGGAGGTGACGTAAACTAGTGGAGGTGACGTAAACTAGTGAAGGTGACGTAAACTAGTGGAGGTGACGTAAACTAGTGAAGGTGACGTAAACTAGTGGAGGTGACGTAAACTAGTGGAGGTGACGTAAACTAGAGGAGGTGACGTAAACTAGTGAAGGTGACGTAAACTAGAGGAGGTGACGTAAACTAGAGGAGGTGACGTAAACTAGTGAAGGTGACGTAAACTAGAGAGGTGACGTAAACTAGAGAGGTGACGTAAACTAGAGGAGGTGACGTAAACTAGTGAAGGTGACGTAAACTAGTGAGGTGACGTAAACTAGAGGAGGTGACGTAAACTAGTGAGGTGACGTAAACTAGAGGAGGTGACGTAAACTAGTGAAGGTGACGTAAACTAGTGAAGGTGACGTAAACTAGTGAAGGTGACGTAAACTAGTGAAGGTGACGTAAACTAGAGGAGGTGACGTAAACTAGTGAAGGTGACGTAAACTAGTGGAGGTGACGTAAACTAGTGGAGGTGACGTAAACTAGAGGAGGTGACGTAAACTAGTGAAGGTGACGTAAACTAGTGAAGGTGACGTAAACTAGTGAAGGTGACGTAAACTAGAGGAGGTGACGTAAACTAGTGAAGGTGACGTAAACTAGTGGAGGTGACGTAAACTAGTGGAGGTGACGTAAACTAGAGGAGGTGACGTAAACTAGTGAGGTGACGTAAACTAGAGGAGGTGACGTAAACTAGTGAAGGTGACGTAAACTAGAGGAGGTGACGTAAACTAGAGGAGGTGACGTAAACTAGTGAAGGTGACGTAAACTAGAGGAGGTGACGTAAACTAGAGGAGGTGACGTAAACTAGAGGAGGTGACGTAAACTAGTGAAGGTGACGTAAACTAGAGGAGGTGACGTAAACTAGTGGAGGTGACGTAAACTAGTGAAGGTGACGTAAACTAGAGGAGGTGACGTAAACTAGTGAAGGTGACGTAAACTAGAGGAGGTGACGTAAACTAGTGGAGGTGACGTAAACTAGAGGAGGTGACGTAAACTAGTGAAGGTGACGTAAACTAGAGGAGGTGACGTAAACTAGTGAAGGTGACGTAAACTAGAGGAGGTGACGTAAAGTAGTGAAGGTGACGTAAACTAGTGAAGGTGACGTAAACTAGTGAAGGTGACGTAAACTAGAGGAGGTGACGTAAACTAGTGGAGGTGACGTAAACTAGAGGAGGTGACGTAAACTAGAGGAGGTGACGTAAACTAGTGAAGGTGACGTAAACTAGTGAGGTGACGTAAACTAGGAGGTGACGTAAACTAGTGAGGTGACGTAAACTAGGAGGTGACGTAAACTAGTGGAGGTGACGTAAACTAGAGAGGTGACGTAAACTAGTGAAGGTGACGTAAACTAGAGGAGGTGACGTAAACTAGTGAAGGTGACGTAAACTAGAGGAGGTGACGTAAACTAGTGAAGGTGACGTAAACTAGTGAAGGTGACGTAAACTAGTGAAGGTGACGTAAACTAGAGGAGGTGACGTAAACTAGTGGAGGTGACGTAAACTAGGGTAGGTGACGTAAACTAGAGGAGGTGACGTAAACTAGTGAAGGTGACGTAAACTAGAGGAGGTGACGTAAACTAGTGAAGGTGACGTAAACTAGAGGAGGTGACGTAAACTAGAGGAGGTGACGTAAACTAGAGGAGGTGACGTAAACTAGTGAAGGTGACGTAAACTAGAGGAGGTGACGTAAACTAGTGAAGGTGACGTAAACTAGAGGAGGTGACGTAAACTAGAGGAGGTGACGTAAACTAGTGAAGGTGACGTAAACTAGTGAAGGTGACGTAAACTAGTGAAGGTGACGTCATTCAGCAGAAGAAGGTCAATCAGGAACTAAAAGTTGTGAAGTCCTTAAACAGTTACTGCTAACATGTGACCACTTTGACCCTCAGATGTTACATTAATACCTTAAAGTATTCTTGCAGTTGAGGTTTGAGGTTTTAGAGTTCTGTTGTTGATGCTAACTTCATCACAGAGTCAACGAAACTAAAACAAAGAATATTTAAAAACACTCAACTGATTAGCTAACAGCTAACTAGCATCGATGCTACACTCACGACGCTGTAGATTGTTTTGTTTGGATCATCTGGAGGGAAAGAAGAGTGGAAATTATTTGAATGTGACTTACTGTTGTATCCTTATGACTGACAGCGCGGTTTCGATTAACGTTAGAGCAGCAAAGTGTCCAGAAGTCAGAAGAATTGTCTCATTATTTCACTCCCAGCTGCTCCGGTACTTTCTTACCGCTGCGCTGCGTTCAGGGTGACACTGTAGAATTGGAAATTCGAGGTTCGTTAATTCTGTTATAGACTTCTCGTTTGATTTTGTAATTCTTAAGCGTCGCTATCAAACATTATTTATATATTCAAAGTGAAATGACCAACAGCAGGATGTGGAACCTAAACATTCACACAACCACAGTAACACACACACACACACTCACTCACTCACTCACTCACTCACTCACTCACACACAACTCACACGATCAAAGCTACACACAAACACAACATGAAGAGCTACCTAAACACACAAAGGAACACACACACACAAAATAAATAGGCCTACTTAACCACTAACACACACACACGGTCAAAGTTACACGCAAACAACAATTTAAACACAAACAAATGAGGCCCTGAATATTTTTACACACACACACACACACACACACACACACACACACACATCAATAATTTGTTGTTGTTTTGTATTATGTGTATAACATGTATCGTATTATTACTTTAGTAATAATAAAATAATTGATTATTTAAAAAAAAAATACTAATACTAAAATTATTCTTGTATTCTTTGTTATATTATTATTATTATTATTATTATTATTATTATTATGCTTTGGCAATGTTGTCACATTCATGCCAATAAAGTTACAGACGAATTGTCGTATTTCCGAGGGGGCTGTGAAGAAACATATGTTACGTCACTTCCGGTTTGGCTCTGATTGGCTGGGATTGGCAGACAGCCGGTCTGACTTTGATTATATAAACAGAGTTACTGAGTCCAAACGTTGAAGTTAATCTGTTGAAACATTAGAGGAGTGAACACTGACGGACACTGCGTCTGTTTCAGGACATTTACGGTTCATATTTTATTAAGAAATAAAACTTTAGGCCATTTGTTTACATAAATCAGGACAGCAGCGTGTCTCAACCTTTGTACGGTGGCTGAGTAGTGCAACAAAAACTGGAATTACATATTCTCTCTAATGTTCATCAGTTTACACATATTCTCTACTCTTACTACATTTAAATAATATATTTCAAACATTTTGATTTGGTCTTCACAATTATTAAAAAGTATTAAAAATGTATTTTCTGTGTCATATATATAAATATATCATGATATATTCATGACCTTTGAAATATAGCGACAGCATTGCATGGGAAGAGAATATTATTTCTAAGATCACAGGACAAAGCTGAGGGAGGCTAAAGCTGGTGGCCTAGTGGTTAGGTTACAGAATTCAAAATGAGCATCCCGGGTTTGAATCCGACCCGGAAATCCTTTCCCCCACGTCATTCAAATTGTCCCTGATGTTTCCAGTTATCTTTTATCTCCTATAATTCCGTGTATGTCTGATCAGAGCCGTGATAGCACTGCAGGACCGTCAATGATCAATCTCTGCATCCAGACAAAGCAGGAGGGCGAGCTTCCTCTTGCCTAAACGTGCTTCTGTTTGATGCTCATGGAGGAGGGGGATCTCAGATATAAAACATGTTAAAAGTAACAGAGAAGTGTCGGTCATACAGCAGCTGTTGTCAGGAGACTTCTGACATAATTATAAGACGCACATGCAGCGCTTTATATTCAGCATCTGAGTGGACACAGACCCTCACACCTGTTCAGGACTAGATCAGTATATACACAGCTTTGTCCACAGGGGGCGCCAAATCAACACAAACCATAAAGTTCCTCTCAGGAGCTTTGATTTATCTTTGGTATTTGTGGTTTTTTATTTGGGTGAATGTGATGATCCTTGAGCCAATCACAGAGGCCGTCAGTGTGATTTAAAACTACCTGATACACGAACATCAATCCTGAATATACAGCTCGTCCGAGTCGGAGCATCTTTAAGGTGTTCCGGTGATTTCTGTCAAATCTTTGCCAAACATTTGAACACTCTACACACATGATGTAAATACACAAAGACATGATATAAAGGAAAACTCAAAAATGAGGCTCGTGAGTGTCATCCAGTGACGCTCACAAATTCTCTGAGGTCCAACTCTCATAAAAAGGCAGAATAATAACACAGCTCATATTAGTTTACACTACAGCATCCACAGTACAACACATGTCAAGTATCTCACATTACATGAAGACGGGAAACATCATTTATTGTCTCCACAAAAACAAATTTGACTAGAGTTTATACATCGAACGATTGTAACGATTTTCCCTTTTTTTTTTAATCAAGTAAACTACGCTGATAGTCAGATATATAAAATCATTATTTCCCTTTAAACATTTGGTTTTGTCTATAAACAAAACATTCACTTTCCCGCTCAGCTGGGAGCAGAAATGGAAGCAGCTTGTTTTTTTGTTTTTGTTTTTAAAATCCAGTTTGTGTTCCTCCAGTGTGTCTCTCTCTCTCTCCGTCCGTCTAGCCCAGGTTGATCGCTCCGGCGAACGTGGTGATCAGCAGGATGATGGTGAACCCGGTGAGCAGCCCAAAGTTCTGGATCAGGAAGAAGATGATCTTTTCCGAGGTTTTCTTTTGTTCCCGTAAGATGTTGTCCATCTCTGGAAACTGCAGAACAAAAATGACAATCAGATATCTACTGTATGTCTTTTTTAGATTTATGGAGGTTTCACACGAGGGATTCCGAGAACCCTTTGACCCCCCCAAAGTCCGGTTCATTTCATCAGTATGAACAGAAACGTACTGTACTCGCTTTAAGAGGTGGTTGGCGGGAGATGGCAACCGTGCTCAAACCAGGAAGTGGACCGCTATATGACATAACTCTAAACGTTGTATCTGACTACAACAATCTGCATGCCGAGGAAAATGGAAAAAGTGGACTGACTTTAAAAACTCATCACAAAGTCTGAAGAGAATGGACGATTTAAAAGGAGGCTAAACTGACGATTGTTAACTGACACCAAAGTTTGTATACTGTGTTTATTTTTGATGTATCCTCATCAAGAAAAGCAAATAAAATATAAGTAATAAAATAAAATAAATGTATCTGCGCATCAAGAGCCGATGTCCTCCTCTGAGCTGCAGATGTGGAAGCAGGAAGCGGTTCGTTGTTGGCGTCTCAGAAAATAACAAAAACATCCACAGTTAGCAGATTGGACTCAGCCTGTGAGTGGTTGCCACGGTTACGTCTTCTGCATTAAGTGCGTCTGTGCCGCTCTCGTGTAAATAAATGCAGGGTTCCCACTCTTTCCCATAGATTATTTTCCAGGACTTTTCCAGACAATTCACTCTCGTGTTGTTTTGTTTTTGTATTTTCGTGAAGCATCTTTTCTCTCCATCTTCTCAACTAAATTGTAAATAAATATCCGTTTTTGACACGATGGTGTTGTGGATTTTTCTGTTGGTAATGAAAGATCTCAAGTCAAAGTCTTTTGTCTTTGTGTATTTTACTGCATATAGTAAAGAGTTCTTTTGCAAAAGAGGTAATCAGCTACCAGAGCATATTTATACTTTCACAGTGTGTAGGTATATTACATATACATGAGGGTGTAGGTATATTACATATACATGAGGGTGGAGGTATATTACATATACATGAGGGTGGAGGTATATTACATATACATGAGGGTGTAGGTATGTTACATATACATGAGGGTGTAGGTATGTTACATATACATGAGGGTGTAAGTATATTACATATACATGAGGGTGTAGGTATATTACATGTACATGAGGGTGTAGGTATATTACATATACATGAGGGTGTAGGTATGTTACATATACATGAGTGATACATCGTCATTGGTTTCAGCTTGCCCTAGTGACTACGCCTTCTGCTAGTTTGCCTGGTGATTTATCTACGCAAGCTTCTATAAGTCACCTGGTACGGAGGAACATCAACAGAAAGTCCTTTTGTCAGGAGGGCACTGATTTAGGATCATGCTGTACCCACACCCTGAGGAGTGTTCCTGTTGGAGATACAGACCGAGGCCATACAGAGAAATAGTTTCTAACTGCTAAATGACGCACGATCATCCTAATCTTTTAAGGTCAAACGAAGACAACAGACAGATAGTATTTTTCCACCACAACAGGGAGGCGGAGCCAATACCCATTACCCTGTAAATGGGATGCAGACCATAACCCGAATAAAAAGATGTGAATCAAAACCTCTGAAAACGTCAAATCAGACCTGGACAGAGCTCATGTCAGAGGTGAGGTCAGAAGCTGTCGTACAGGATCACATTGTGTGTGTGTGTCATAATGAGGTCACAGCGGCGTGCAGGTGAGGAGTGTCCTCAGGTGTGTAATCTTAACTCACCATGTCTGCCAGTGCAATGTACAGGAACATTCCTCCCGCGATGGCAAAGATTGCGTTGGGGGCAAAGTTGCTCCCGAGCAGGATGCCGAAAAAAAGGCCGACGTAACACGACACCGCCGACAGCAGGTTGAAGAAAATGGCCTGAGGGACGCTCATACCGGCGTTCAGCAGGATGACGAAGTCGCCTGCAGAGACAGAAAGGGAATCAGAGTTTATTATCTAAACTCAAATCTCTTTGAAAAACCTCAAACTGAAGAGTGACACACTTTCTTTCTTTCTTGTTTTTTGTCACTTTTTCACAGTCAAATAATCTGCTGTTCTGCAGAGTGTCAGTAGAGGGCGGTAGAGATCACAGATTTCTGCTGGTGCTTTGAGTTAGATTGAAAAGAAGTAACCCGCTCTTAATCAATAATCCTCTTTTTTTTTTTTTACTTTTATTCACCAAAACGTGCACACACACACTCACACAATAAAAAAAAAAGAGATACAAACAAAGAGGGGAGCTGTGGTACGATACAGTTTTGCAACAGATACAGACAAAAACAAACAAACAAACAAAACAAAAGAAAAAGGTCAGTAAATAAAATGAATGAATTAGAAAGAGGGACAAAATAAGTAAATGAGCAAACAGGACAAAGACAAACATGGAGACAGTATAGTAACAACATTATGTGAAATAAAAACTGGTGGGAGAGGTTGTACACATGGTGAGGAGTTTTGTCGTTGTTTGTTTTTGTTTTGTTTTTCACTTTGTATGGGTGCTAACATGATGATTGCCAAATACAGACTGTTTGTAAATGATCAAAATGGTGGTGAGAATTGTGGAGTGTATTTTGTTGAATTCAGTGAGTTGGTTTTTGAGTGTGGCTGATTGTTGTTCCGTTGATATCTGTTGTGTAAGGAGGTCCAACCATTGTGAAAATCCTCTTTTTAAGATTAACGTCCCTCCTTAGCGGCTTTAAGGTTGCAAAACTTTCATTTAAACTATTTCAACCTGACTCACAGAATCTCACTTTCTGTAAAAAGCACGTTTGTGAAGTCGCTCTGAATTAAATAATTGAGTCCCAGACAGGTTAGCATGAAGCCTCGACTGGATTTTGTGGATGTCTTTTCTCGTTTTATGCACATTTCTGTTTATTTGGTGAATTGCCCTTTGAGATGAACCATCTCGTTTTCGAGGGGCTCCACATTTCCAAAAGTCAGCTTGAAATATTTGTAGATTTTGGAAACATTGGGGTTTAAATCATTAATGAGGTTATAACAGGATAAAAAACAGGAAGTCAAACTCACCCAGCTCATGAGGAAACTCTTC